AAAGTTAAGGAATTTCTCAAGGTCATAAACATAATAAACTCATGGATTTTAGATTTAGATCTTTTCTTTCATAATTGTAATGTAATAATATTTACAAAAGAATTTCTACGAAGCATCTGTAAGTTATTGACAATAAATTAGGAGTTTTTTCAAAATTCATCATTCTCTCCCTATCTAGTGCCATCAGAACATTTGCGATGTACTCCAGAATCCCTTTGGAAGGAGTTGTCCTCACAACATGAAGGACTGGAGGAGTTAATGGAGAAGGAAATGCATCCTTTCTCCCGGGGAATCTTGATCTTTTCTAGAAGCTGGGCTGTAGACCTGGATTTGCAAGAAAAGCCTGGAGTCATCTGTGATGCTCTGCTGATAGCACAGACCAGCCCCCCCATTCTCTACACCGTTCTCGGGGAGCAGGATACACAGGGTGATGACTATTCCACCCACACCGCCTTTACTTTAAAGCAGAAGCTGGTGAATATGGGCGGCTACGCTGGGAAAGTGTGTGTCAAGACCAAGGTCCTCTACCTGAGTCCTCAGAGGACTCAAGTGTCCTTGAAAGGTTCAGGCTGTCCGATAGATTACCCTGCATCCTATAATCTTGCAGACACCCAGCAAATGGAAGCCTTGCTGCAGTCCCTCGTGATTGTCTTGCTTGGCTTCAGGTCTTTTTTGAGTGACCAATTCAACTGTGAGGTTTTAAATCTGCTCACAGCCCAACAGTATGAGATATTTTCAAAAAACCTCCACAAGAGCAGAGAATTATTTATCCATGGCTTACCCGGAACAGGGAAGACTGTCATGGCCACGAAGATCATGGAGAAAATCAGGAATGTATTTCACTGTGATGCAAATAATATTCTCTACATTAGTGAAAACCAGCCTCTGAGGAATTTTTTGAGGTAAGCAGATGGATCTTATTGCCACCAAATGAGGTTTGGTTTGGATTCATTTCATCACCCTCCCAAGCTGAGTGACTTTGTTGCTTGATGATTACATGGTATAATTAATTTGTGATAATGTGTACAGAGCAATATGTT